CCATTGTGGGAATCAGTATCCTTCCCTTTTCGTGCATAGAACATTCTTGCTGCTAACAGCATATATAACATCAAAGTTCCAATTTTTCCCCCAAGTTCTTTATCCATTAAGCCTAAATGAAAAGTTATCATCTTAGAATTTTTTTCTTTTAAATTATAATTTAATGTAAAATTTAAACCTTTAGTCTACATGTTTTCCCATTGCTCAAGCATTATCTGAAGCCCCTAATTTGTGGGATGTTTCAGGGCTTTCTATTCTGTTCAGCTTCTATATGAAGCCACTAGATGAGCTCATCCATCAATGTGTGGTCAGTTAGGATGATGATGATACCAAATTGTACATCTCAACTTCAGGCTGATTAGGTGATGATGTCATGATCTTAAGTATCCAGAGGCTATGGAAGCCTGGATGGAAAAAAACAGACTCAGGTTCAACTTTAACAAAAACTGAGTGGTTGTGGGTTTTTATAATCTGTGGGACTTGTGATTTTCCATATTAGTCACAAATGGGTTTGCACTTTCCTCTTCAGGATGAGTACACACTATGAAGGTCTTTTTAGATTTACTGCTTTTGCTACAGGAGCAGGTAGCAGTTGAAGCTAAAAGGGTCTTTGCACAAATCCATGTTATGTGCCAATTGTGCTCTTTCCTGAACCAAGGAACCCTTCAGATAATCACTCATGTTTTGACAAACCTCATTCCTGGACTACTGCAATATTGTACCCTGCCCAGAATCCCTCTGAGAGGGAGATGGATGTTTCTTAAATATGATATATAAATAAAATAAATATACGGTACTCTACACGGGGCTACCCTTGAAAACCACTTTGAAGCCACAGTTGATCCAGATTGCACTCACACAATTATAGGTAGTGGTCCCCAACCCCTGGGCCACAGCTCACTTCTGGGCTGTGGCCTGTTCGGAACTGGATTGATTGGCTGGCTGGCTGGTGCATGTGTGTGCTATGTGCAGCTTGACTTGCGCACGTGGCAGGCTGGTGCGCACGCACATGCACACGCAGCTTGACTTGTGCAAGCAGCGGGCCGGTTCCCCTCTCCCTCCCCCTGCAGGGCTGCCAAACCATAAAGGTTGGAAACTGCTGATGACCATGTAACAGATTTGCTTCATGAGCTGTACTAATTACCAGTTACAGTATTCCCTATTTGAGTAATTCAAGGTACCAATTATAAACTAAATAGCCCATAATGGTATCAAGCTGCTAAGATCTAAGAAAGCACCTTCCATAGTTTCTGCTCATCCTATCTGATTTGGCAGAATGAGCATGTTCCAAGTCCCATCCATTAACCTGTGTCCCGTAATGAGATCTAAGAAGCATGCCTTATCTGTGACAGACTTGCTCTCTGGAACAATTTCCCTGATGAGATTGCCCTGACCCTATTCTGACCATGATTAAGAGAGCCCTTATATCTGGCTCTTCCCACAGTCCTTGGGTTAAACCAGGTGGTGGATCCTGGGGTTGCATTTTATACAGAATGAATAATCTTTCTCCTGATGCCTATGCTTTTGTGTTTTTAGTAATGATTTTATTGTAGATGTTCTGTGTTGCAGTGGAATTAGTGGCCTTATCTTTTAATAAGATGCAGTGGTCAGTAGTTGAAGGACCTGATGGTGTGCTGTGCCTTGGATTTACATTTTACAGCAGGTGGCAGCTGTGGCTAGGAGAGCCTTTTCCCAGGTTCATGTTGTGCATCAATTGTGTCCATTTCTCAATCAGGATGCTCCAGTTCATTGTAATTTATACTTCTCACCTCCTGTTTGAATTACTATAATATAGTGTATATAGGGTGTTGTTGAAGAGCATTCAGAAGCTGTAATTAATCCAGCATGCAGCAGTGTAGGCAGTTTTGGGCATTTCATGATACTCATATAACATCATTACTCCATAAGCCAAGCTGGCTTCTAGCGATCTTCTGAATTCAATACAAGATGTTGGTTATTATGGTATCTACAAAATCCAAGGCACAGGATCAGGTTATTTGTGAAACTGCTAATCTCTGTTTCAGCTTGCCCCACCCGAGCCAATCAGGTGGGCACACTTGGCAGTTCTTCAATTAAGCAGCATGCAGGAGTCATATCTGTCATGACATGCCCTGTTGAAACAACATCCCCTTGAATTTTGGACAGCTCTGTCCTGTTGTCCTTTTGTACAGTGTTAAAGATTTGATTGTTCTGGTTGTTCTTTCAGGCACTTGGATTGGAATGCTAAATAAACTGTTGGCTTCATTGTTTGGCTGATGTCTTTTTATTGCTTATAGAATGGAATGCTTTTCTTTTTTAAATCTCAAGCATGTCTTGTTTTGTAGATGATAACCAGCATCTTGAACTGCACTCAGAAGATCACTAGAAGTCAAGTGGCTTATAGAATAGCAATAACACTTAGACTTATATACCGCTTCACAGTGCCTTACAGCTCTCTAAGCAGTTTACAGAGCCAGCATATTTTCCTCCAACAATCTCGATCCTCATTTTACTGACCTTGAAAGGATGGAAGGCTGAGTCAACCTTGAGCCAGTGAGGATCGAACTGCCAAACTGCTGGCAATCGGCAGTCAGCAAAATTAGCCTGCAATACTGCATTCTAACCACTGTGCCACCAAGGCTCATGCCACATTTTATGAGTGTATCATGAAATGCTCCAACTGCCCCCACTGCTACATTCTGGATTAATTACAGCTTCTGAATGCTCTTCAAGGCACCCTATGTATTGGTAGTTTTGAACTTTTTTTTTTTTATTAATCATGATGTTTGGTTTTTCTTGGTTTTAGTCTTTTGTTCATTTCTCAGACTCATTCCTGCGAGAGCGATAGCCATATAAATTGTATGCATAAATAATTAGATAGGGAGACAAACAAATATCCTGCTACCTAATGAGAAGATTTCCCTATGCTGCTTAATTTCTGTTCTACTGAATAGATTTGGGGGTTTCCCATAAGTATGGCAATGCTTACTGACAGAACAGCACATAGGACTACAGAGAAAGTATAATCTTTTTGTGGCCCAGACCATGATTAAAAAACAAAAACAAAAAAACTAGGAGAGCAGTCTCAAGGACTGTAGGAAGATATGACAATGTCCTTAGAGTGAACGGATTGACACCTTCAGCTTTTGGGGTAGAAATAAGATCAAATAAATATATTAAACTTCACAGAGGCTTATTTGAGGTCTGATTTAAAAGAAAGAACAATTGCACTGAATTTCAGTAGCATGATCTTGGAGAGTACTGTGGACTAAAAAAATGGAGCTAGCCTACTTCCCGTGGTCTGTCTGCTCACGAAGAACACATTTTGCCTGTCCTATTTTTATATATAAAAGTGGTCCTTGACTTATAACCATTCGCTTAGCAACCATTTCAAGTTACAATTGCATGGGAAAAAAATGACTAAAACTAGTCCTTGCACTTATGAATGACCTTCTTAGCCAACTTCCAACAAGCAGAATCAATGGGGAAAGCCAGATTTGCTTAGTGACATGATTCACTTAACAACTGCAGTGATTTACTTAATAACCATGGCAAAAAATTGAGTGCAACTCACTTAACAACCACCTTAGCAATAGAAATTCTGGTCCCAGTTGTCATAAGTTGAGGACTACATATACACATATGCATACAGTCAGTCTGTCTCTCTTTGGCTATTTTTATGTAAAGCAAGTTTATTTCACTAACAGGAAACATTACATTCTATTCCTAGTGATTATGTGGAGAAATGCTTGCTATTCCAAGCATTAAAACATTTAAAGATGCTCTGGTTCCTTTGGAATAGGCTCCATGGGCTCTTAAAATGGCCGGTCTTCAGTCTCCTTTCATTATAACAGAAAACACTGTTTTTTGCTGAAGGCCCCTAACCTCAGGTATTACAGCCAAATGATAGGTAGGAGAGAAGCAAAGGAACAGTGGGATCAGAGGCAAAAACAAATCTTTTTTGGATTGTGGACTAGGATTTAGAAATTAGGATGAACATTTCCCATTTTCATCCTCATGTTAGTAAAACTAGGGCATATATCTTTCAAGAGTATTTCAGGTTTCAGTGAGCAAGTGTAGGAGTGACTTTAATTTCTCTTGTGCATCAGTTCACCTTTAATAGATGTTCCTGTGGTGGTTTAGCTGTTGGTATCCATCCTTAGTCCTAGAGAAATTAAGAAAATTAAGGAATTCTCTTAATCCTGGAATTCCCATTAAATTCTTCATGTGTCTTCTCAAAAGTGAGTCTAGTTAGTGAAGTGAAGCATACATTCAAGTAAGTTTATATATCTATAGCCTAATTAAACCCTTCTCTGAAAAATAATCTCAAGTCATGTTTAGCAGAGATAGTACAACTCTTTTCCATAATTTAGCTAAATCATGTCCATAGGGCAAAACTTGCAGATTATAGAAGAGTGTTATCTCTCTTTTCCTAACATATGCACAAAGACACACCAAACAGCTGTACCATAACAAAGTCAACATGTGTAGTTTTCTTCCAAATAAAACATCTGCCCGTCCCAAGTCCTTGGGAAGGATTCTATTGGATGATAAAAATGTCAAATCGAGTCTAAACATCTGGCTGACTGTGTGACCAACCATAATAAAGTAATAATTTATTAAACTTGTAGGCCTCTCAACTCTCATAAGTCTCCAGGTGGTTTACAACAAAGTGCTATAGAAAGCTATGCCTCCTCCCACCTGAAGATGCTGAGGAAGGGGGCAAACCCCAAACCTCTATGAGGTAATAAAAGAGGCACAGCTTTGCCTTTTTGCAGCGCCCCTACACACACTTAGCAGAAGTCGTAAACCGGTACACCTCAAGATTTGCACGTTTTTTTCTTGTCGTCGCTGGAGCGCCTGCTTCGCACCGAAATACCTGGTCCATTTTCTACCCTGACAAAAGCTTGAGCCCTACCGTTTGACTATGTCCCACCTGGGACAGTGCCAGGCAGGTGCGTATGTGAATTTCTTCCCCATCCCTTCGCTATCCCAAGCAGGGGGACACAACGCGCGCAGCCACAGCTCCACTGTGTTTCCTCCTCCCGCCCCGCCTCCTGCCCATGTGCAGCCGCGGAGCTGATGTCATCGCTTGGGCTGCCCGAATGTGTGTCAGTGGGGCAAGCCTTTGATTCTGTCACATGCAGGCTACACATGAGCCAGCCACGGAGCTACGCCAGATCCTAACTCCCCCGCGCCTTGCCTGGCTAGAAAACAACAGCGTTTTCTGGAGTTGAACAAGCAAAAAAATAAACCAGCCACAGCAGGAAAGCTCACCCACATAGCCTCGAATTAAGGGAACTGGGTTGGGGAGGGGAGCGACTCGGTTACAGAGCCTTTTGCCGAGCCTTGCTTCAGAAAGCACGTGAAGTCGCAATCGAGAACACGACGCTGCTTCCTGGAAGCACAAACCATTTTGCAGAGCTCGGTGGCTCAGGAGTCGGCAAGCACGCGCGCGCGCTCTTTCTCTTCTCTCTCTCACATATACACACGCCGGCAGGAGAAGAGGGGGGTCGGTGGAGAGGATTCCCTCACCGCGCACAGCCGGCTTGATACCGATCGCCCCCTTTCTAGTCATTTTTGCTCATTTGGGAGAGCGGAGTCCTTCCTACGAAAGCAAGCAAGCAAGCAAGCGAACCCAACGTGCAACTCTTCATTGCCTTCCTCAAGGCGATTCCCTACCACCACCACCACCCTTTTTTTTTTTTTGCAACCCAAGAACCAGGTTTGCATTAATAACGGGAGGACGGCGAGAGAGACCCAGCATGGATAATAATTCCGGTAAGCCTGTTTTCTGCTGCAATTTTTATTCTCCTCTTTCCCTCCCCCACCCACCCACCCCCGCTCCGGATTTCAGTCCTTTGCAAGTGGGTTGGTGGGCGCGAACCAAAGGAGGTCGAACGAGGAAATGAAGTAACCAAGAAGCTCGCTGTGTTGTTGAACGGTGTTTTGTATGTTCATGCCATCACGGTCGATTTTTTTTAACGTTTTCCACTCCTTCCTAGCTTGCCCACTATACCGTAGCTCACTACAGTACCGGAAGGAGCTTCTAAGTCTGGGGTTTAATTCATTTTGCTTTTTAAAAAACAACAACCAGGAAATGCATTCTTTTGCATTCTGTTTAGCTTGTTAGCCTTTTTTGGATCGCGAACGTCTTTGGAAACGGGATCAAAAAAGGGCTTTTGCTGTGGATTCCCCCACCCACCCCAAAACCTCAGTACGCGAAGGGAGAGGAGTCGGAATAATAGTTTCTGTTGATACTGAAATGGTTGTGGAAGAGGAAAAGGGAGTTACAAACAGCCAATTGGAGATTTATGCAATAGAAAGAAAGAGGGGATTTATTGGTGCAATGCAAATTATTGGAGAATGCGGATCTTTCATTACTGGGACTGAGCGAGGGACCGGGGCTTGGGGTGGTGGTGGTGGGGAGAATCGCTGTTCAAAATGGGTTTAATTTGTGTACAATGAAGCGGTCACATGGGTGCCGCTGCATTTGTGTTTTTCAGTAAACAAACCAAGCGATGTTTGATGGATGGTTCTGGAAAGTGGCTTCTTGTTTTTGTGTTATCCTCGGCTAGAAGAATGGAGGGAAAAGGCTTCCGACAGCCGCTTTTTGTATGGATGCGGGAGAGGTTAGGTGGGGTCAGTGTGATTTGAGAAGAGTTTGCAGTCCATAGTCAAAAGCAAAACCGGGAAAGCGTTGAGGCAAGGAAAGTCACTATTTTCAGATAAACTAGGTTACTGGGCTAGTCTAACACCCCCCCAACACACACTTTTTGATATATCAGAGGCAAATGATCTGATGCCCTGCAGCAGGTGTGGATTGTAACTCCCATAAGCTGAGTTCAGACATCCTGAGAATCTAGTCCAAACCATTCAGAACAGTGTTTCTCAACCGTGACAACTTGAAGATGGGTGGATTTCAATTCCCAGAATTCCCCAGCCAGCATGGAAAAAAGAAAAGGGAGAAAGGAATGTCTGGGCAGAATTAAGTATTCTGCTGTTTTAAAAAGGCAGGTTTCTGGTCCTTACTGCATTGAATATAGATTTTGATTAAATTTCTGCAGCAAGAGGGTGATTTAAGCAGGATTTTAAGGAGCCATAGCTTCGTTGAATCTGCAAAGCAACTTGGGTGCTGACTTTTCAGGAGCAGAACACTATAGATACAAAAGATCGTAAACGCAGAATAAGTATATGTGTGTGTTTTGTGCAGGTGACATTTATCTTTTGCTGCTGGAGACCTGTATATTATTGCAAAGAATAAAACATTATATTTTCACTTAATTTTGTTACTCATATGTGTATCTGTTGGTTTAATGTAGACTGTGTGCAAACCTAGATTGTATTAACTTCCATGTAATGATGTCTTCCTTGCAGTTTCTTAAATTTTATCCTTCCAGCCTTCTGAAGTCGGTAAAATGAGGACCCAGGTTATTGGGGGCAATATGCTAGCTGTAAACTACTTAGAGAGGGATGTAAAACACTGTGAAGCAGTATATAAGTCTTAAGTGCTATTGTTATTAAATTTGCTGCAAAATTTTGAAATGTGCAGGAGAACTGGAGAAGTTCTCACCTCTGCTGTCTTTTCACAGTACAGTGCATTTATCTCTCTCCAGATAAATGATCCCTCCGATCAGTGTTTCCCAACCTTGGTTATTTTAATATATGTGGACCAACTCCAAGAATTCTCCATCCAACATGCTTTTGCTAGGGAATTCTGGGAATTGAAGCTCATATATCTTAAAGTTGCTTTTTCAGTTCCATATGGGGAAAATTTTAAAGCATTAGAATGCAACGACCTCCTGGTGCTCCATCTCCTATCTCCCCAACCCAGATTGTGTATATTGTCTAAAGTACTGTTGGGGAGAACATTGTCTCTCTCAAATGCAAGGGGACCCTGGAGACAGAGATGATGGCAATAGGAATTGCTAAGCTGCTGCCCCAAAACAGGAGGTAGGGATAGATGTGAGGACTCAGCCTATTTCTGAGAGGAATTTGATATCTGCAGCATTCTATGTTGTATCTTAGTTGATCCACTGCAAAGGACAGTTGTTTGTGGGGATGTTCATGGCTTGCTGGTACGGCACTAGTTTTACGGAAGGAAGCGTTAGCGGCCAATCCTTCCAACACCAGGGAGGGTTGGGAAAAAAACTGTTCCCAGAAGTTTTGGAGTTCCCTGCAACAGTATTGCGTGCTGAGCTGACAGTATTGAGCAAGCGATTTCACTCAGTGACCCAGTTTGTACATTGCGCTAAGCCATATTTTGGTTGTCTGGTTTTGACTTAAGTATATAAACCCAGTCACTTGGTGATTAAATAGCACAGTTAAGCAAGCCATGATCTGACATGATGTATGAACCCAGCTGAATAATGGGACATAATCCTTTATTCCTAAGATGCAAAAAATTTAATTTTTCCAATTACTTGCTCTTCCCTGCAACGATATGTAGCTTTTTTAAGCTCTGACATTCCAGGGGGTCCATTCATAGTAATTTCTGGTTTCACATTGACATGGAACTCAAGTCCTTTGCCAACTACAGTGGTACCTTGGTAATCTACTGCTTTGAAACTCATTGAATTTGGTACTCAACACATTTTGACAACAAAGTTTTGTCCTGATACTCATTGTTTGTTTGGTATTAAACACACAAGCTAGAACCTGCTGATGTCAGTGGCCTTGTGACTCATTACATTATTCCTTATGGGAAAATTTTGTTTCATACTCATCCATTTTGGTATTCATGGCACCTCCCAGAACCAACTCACGATGAGTGCGGAGGTACCATTGTATTGACAACTCACACAGATCACATTTGTAGATTTGTGATGTTAGTGTGCTTGTTGTTGGAGGGCTGTCATTCAATATTGATTCTTTTGAGGATAACCCTGTTCTCAAATAGGAATTTTGCAAGAGCAGCAATCATCAAACTAGTAACTGAATGGGTGCCAGACTTCCCTTTTCTTGAAGTGGGTCAGCTTTTGTATTTGAAAGACTTTATTCAGGGCATAGGTGGGGGCTGAAAATATGTTTGTATACCAACTAATCCTGAGTGCAATCCTCTAACAACGCAGGCCTGGCATCTGCACGTGCCCAAGAATTCCTCCAGTTAATCACAAAGTGACTCACTGAGAAAGAGGAGCCAAACATAGTTACATCTGCCCGCAGGGGCCAGGAGCAGTCTTTTGAAGGCTGGCAGAACAGGTCAGGAATGTCTTACTTACCAAAACAGTCTTTGGTGGATTCTATTTATAAGGACTAAGGTTATTCAAGGCAGATACATCCATCTACAGCTCAGGGGAAGTTCATAGTTTACGCCTCAGATTCCTTTCCTCGCTGGCTGGCTTAGATATGAGATAGGCTTCTGCTAAGCCAAAAAAGAAAGTTGGAGGAGATATTCATGGTCAGATAGGACTTGGAAGGATTAGGTTGTTCCCTGATACAGTCAACATATCTCCCATTTTGCCTCCATTCCAGGCAGTCCTGGTGAATGTCCACATTCAATACAAGGCCATATACCTTCAATCAGAATAGAGCTGGAAGGGACCTTGTAGATCTTCCAGTCCAACCCCCTGCTCAAGCAAGAGACCCTATACCATTTCAGAGAAGCACCCACAGCTTCTGAAGACAAGCTGTTCCACTGGTAATTGTTGTCACTGTTAGGAAGTTTCTCCTTAATTCCAGGTTGCTTCTCTCCTGTTTCCATCCATTGTTTCTTGTCTTACCTTCTGCTGCTTTGGAAAATAGCTTGACCCTCTCTTCTTTGTGGCAGCCCCTCAAATACTGGAATACTGTTATCATGCCCCCCCCCAGTCCTTCTTTTCACTAGACCAGCCATACCCAGTTCCTGCAACTGTTCTTCATATGTTTTTCATACTTTGTGGGAGGGCTGCAGTTTTCTGCAGGTTATTCAAGAGGATGTTTCTCAGAGTAGACAGTTTGGCCCAGATAAGCAAAGCTTCAGAATTGGGATATGGTAACTAATTCATTGTATACTGTAAGATAAGGGATCCCAACCTCTGTGGCAGCATTCCTTAGTCAGATACCTTGTGTTGGAATTGAAAACCTTAGTCATCATGGATAATGGAATTCTGAGGGAGGAGTCCACAGGATCTGGAAAGCCACTCTGTTGCCAGAGAAGAATCTGCAATGGAGATTCCAGCTGGGAGCAGGTGATCCTAGGAGGAGCCCAACCGTCTCAGGCAGCCTAGGCCAGTGGTTCTCAACCTTTCTAATGCCGCGACCCCATAATACAGTTCCCCATGTTGTGGTGACCCCCAACCACTTATACATCACCGGGTGCCAGGGGCGTGGCCAAAGAAAAGGGGGACAAAATGGCAGACAGCCTTGTTTGGCGACCCCCGTGAAATGTTCGTTCGACCCCAAATGGGGTCCCGACCCACAGGTTGAGAACCACTGGCCTAGGCAGTTGAAATTCTTTTATACATACTAGTTCGTGTGACTCTTGCTTAGTTCTGCACCCCCCCCCCCCATCTGAATTGCAGAAGTCTTAAGAGTATGCTCTGAGTTGTCTTTGGAAACATTGTGTAAATGATGTTTAGTTTGCCCCTGCTTTCTGCACCTATATGGCAAACCTAGAGAACTGCCTGACACATCAAGTGAAGGAGGAAAATGCTTGATGATTGTAAAAGGAATTGTTGTTGCTGCCTTTTCTTCCATAGGAGTGGATAGAAGCTATGGGCTTTCAAAGGTGCCCAAAATGTCAAAGGATGCTGTGCTTAGTGTAGCATCCTATATGTCAGTACTACTGGAAAATGACCTGT